CACTCAACATTTTGCCTCTGCCTTTAGTGTGACTAGCAAGTAATCAAAAAAAAAATCCACTTTTGTTATGTGTATGTATTTCAGTAACTATTTACACAAACAGTGGAACATATGTTGGTGGACATTTTTACCAGCTTTCATTACTCCAGAGAATAGATTCCAAGTTCCTTGTGTGTGACAGCTTAGAAGAAACAAATCTTCACAACCAGGTAAGGCTCCTCTTCTCAGTTCAAGATTCTCTGTGTTAAGAATAGTCTTTTTAACAGTGAGTACTAAAGTTCAAATCTTCTTTCAAAAGCTGATTTTGAAAAATAAGCACTCATCTTTAACCACTTCTGATATTAGATAATATTTTATAATTATTTTTATTATTATTATTATTATTATTTAATTTGACCAGAGAGAGACAGAGAGAGAAAGAGAAAGTGAGAAAGCAAGCTGCCAGGTCTGGGGACTTGATCCATGGTCTGCCATGTGGGAGTCCAGCACCTTAACCACCACACCATCTGCTGGCCCAATATTAGATCACTGTTTTTCTTGGAGAGTATTTTTTTTGCTGTAGGGCGCGTGCGCTCTCCAGACCGACATAGAGAGAAAGAGAGACAGAAAGCGAGAAATCACCCCCCCAGGGGGGATGGCCACGCGGCAATCCCTTCTCCTCCGTTCTCCTCTCGGGATCTTGGGCACGCACGCACAAGTGCCTGGCGTGAGTTTTAAGCCACCGAGTCTGAGAAGCGAACTGCGGTCGACTACGTGGGAGTCCAGCGACATAGCCATTATGCCAACTGCTGGTCCCTAGATCACTTTTAATTAGCAAATTATGACATATAACAAAATGGTTTGATACAATGGTTAGGTGGCTATTGTGGAGTTGCTAGAGCAAGCTAATTAACATTTGCATTAATTTGCATTACCTTACTTTTTTCTACTCTATTAGCAATTTTCAAGTATACAGTGCTTTGTTATTAATTATGGTCACCATGATGTATAATAAATATCTTTAATTTATTCCTCCTGTCTAACTGAAATTCTTTGACAAACATTTCCTTTCTGTTTCCATTATTTTTCATAATCAGAGTCCTTCAATTTTTCTTACAGGGGAAGAAAAGTTTCTCTGTCATGGATTCACAGTAAGATGTTGTATTCATCACTTTTTTAGACAGAAAGTATAAGCAGGATTATTTTTCAAGTTTATGAAAGAGGATATCAATCATGTATCATAAGAGGATAGTCCCTACATGGAGATGATTTGCTAATGTTTCTCCTCTTGATCTTTGGCCGTCAACTTAATAAGTAAGTGGGAAGGAACCTGCTCTAGGCTACCATAAATCTTTGAATTTTCAATCTCTGATGTGAATGAGATAAAAAATAAGAACTCTAGTAGCTCTTTTGCTATGTCTTCTGTTTTTCTATGTTCAGCTACTATCCGGCTTTGAGCAGTGACTATCACTGTATAGTACACAGGGTAATGCTCTATGCAGGAGTAGCATAATTGATGTGCCTCAGGTAATCAGACAACCTTTGGTCTGCCTACTGATCTTCCCACTCTCAGGTCAAATCATCTATTTATTACATGTGTGAAAAATGGATAAAATCCCAAAGTTCAGAGTGCTGTTTGCTAACATTATATTTATTATATTAATAAACATATACAGTATTTAGTACAATGCCAGACACAGAGTAAGAGCTTAGGAAATAATAAGTGGAAGATTATACGAATGTGATATAGAGATAAATCCATGTATAACTGAATTATTCTCTTAACATTTTTTCTACTTGTGAATTTTTACACTTTGGCTAGACAAGAGTGCTTCAGGAGCATGTTTTGATTTTTTCCCCATCACCTGTCACCAAAATAATAGACAAGATTTAAGGATTCTCTAACACCAAACCTGACCATTCAATGATTCACTGGACAGTTAACTTGGGTAAGTTATTCGAAATGATTTTATTAAGCATTAATGGGACAAAGAAATGCGGTATTATCTGTTGAAGATATTTTATAATTTTATGAACTGTACTAGGGAGAAATATTCACCTGTTGAAATATTCATTTTGTAAGGTAAATAATGTGATTGAATGTATAAAAGAAAATGAAATAAAAGAAATGATTTTACTAAGAAACTGGTTTTCTTTTTTTTTTTTTTTTTCTTTTGGAGAGATTTTTGCTCTCCAGAAAGACAGAGACAGAAAGTGAGAAATCACCCCCCAAGGTGAATGGCCACACTGCAATCCCCTCTCCTCTATTCTTCTCTCAGGATCTTGAGCACGAACATACACGTGCCCAGAGTGAGTTTAAGCCACTGGTTCTGGGACTCAAACCGTGGTCCACTATGTGGGAGCCCAATGACATAGCCATGATGCCAATGGCTGGTCCCACTGGTTTTCTTTTTTCTTTTCTTCTAATTTCTTTTATACATTCAATTACATATGTCACTTAGCTTGTAAAGTGAATGTTCCAACATGAATACATTTCTCACCAGTCCTGCTGGGGATATTATACTGGTTTTTATTCTGACATTCATATTGAACATTTTAGTATTTTATTTGAGAAAAACAAAAATTATTTACACAGACAAATTATTCACACAGATACCTTAGAAAAACACTTGCTTTTCTATATTTACAAAATAAAACGATATTGTTTAAGCACAAATACTCTTATTTTGGATATTTTTTGGAGGTGGGTAAAAAGACACCACTTGCTTTATGTTGTTTGTTTTAATTTATTTCTTTTAGCCCTGATTATAGATGCATAAACACTGTAAATGAATCCACTATCATTCTCACATAGATGCTACCTGTGTGCACACACAATCTGGTGGTAGGATGTGAGTTACTGCAAACAGTGACATTTGAACTCTTGGTAAACAGGATTGAAGAAGGTTACTAGGAGTAAGCCTTACACAGAATGTAGGAAAAGTCATTTGTTTTCCTTTAAAAATCAGGTGACAATGCTTCCAAGAAATGCTTCCTGAAACCTATTAGTCTCTTTTGTCTTATGTTTTATTTGTAATTCACACAGTTGTTTAGTTTACTTATTTATTATTTTAATTTTATGCATTCAATCACTGTACATCACTACAGCTTGTAAAATGAATTTATTTAACATGAATACACTTCAAATCAGTCCAGTTGAAGACATCATACACATTATCATCAACAGACAATCCTCTATTTCTGTGTCCCTTAAATGTCTTGCCTCTCTATTTTTATCCTTGATTCCTTCCTCTCACTCTCCTCCATCTTCTGCCCTCTTTCCACACTGTCTCCAGTATCCATAACCATTTTCCATGCTTTCATATCCTCTAATCTTTCAGTTTCTGCTATAGAATGTGTATATATTAAGTGGAAACATTAATGTCTCTCTTTCATAGACTGACTTGCTTCACTCAGCAGTAAATCTTCCATATTCATCTACTTCTTATCAAATACTAGGGTCTTGTTTTTTATGTCTGAATAGTTTTCCATAGTGTGTATGTGCCACATTTTTATTTTTTCTCTCTCTCTGTTTTCCTTTTTTTTTTTTTTTTGGTGGAAAACAGACCTAACCCCAAAATATATTACAAAGCTACGATAATCAAAACAGCATGGTATTGGCACAACAACAGACATGAGGACCAATGGAACAGTTTATTTCTAGAGAACCCAGAAATAAACCCTAAAACATACAGCCAACTTATCTTTGTAAATGGGTACCAGTTAATCCAGTGGGAAAAGGAAAACTTCTTTGGCAAATGGTGTTGAGAAAACTGGGTATCTACCTGCAGAAAGATTAATATGAATCCCTATCTGTCACCACTAACAAAAATCAACTCAAAGTGGATCAAAGATCTAAACCTAAAACCTGGTTGAAAACACTGGAGAAACTTTGGGAGACACTGAGGTAGGCAAAGACTTCTTAAGCAAGACCCCTAAAGCACAGGCAATAATCCCCAGAATAGACAGTGGGATTACCTCAGATAAAGAAGTTTCTGCCCAGTAAAGACTGCAGCAATTAGTGTGAATCAACAACCCTTGGAATGAGAAAAAAGTTTTGTAAACTTCATCTCAGATAAGGGACTGATAACCAGAATACCCAGGGAACTCAAGTGGCTTTACCCAGAAGAAAATGATTAACCCAATTTAAAAAAAACGGGAAAATGTGCCACACTTTTTCAATCCATTCATCTGTTCATGAACATTTGGGTTGGTTTTATGTCTTAGCAATTGTGAATAATGCTGCAATAAACATAGTTCATTCATTTAAATTCTATCATTAAACAGTAAACACAAAATAATTATTACTTTCCTCTACCTCTAAATGTTAGTACTTCTTAAGATTTCTCTCTCTATCTCTCTCTCTCTCTCTCTCTCTCTCTATATATATATATATATATATACACACATATATATACACACACACATATATATACATACACACATGTATGTATATATATATATATACATACACACATACATACACACACACACACACACACACACACACACACACACACATATGCCTACCCTTGGCCAGTAGTATTGTGTCTAAATATCTAGAGAGATGTAGAGGAGAAACCCAGTAAACAAAGAGGTAAAATGGTACTGAACATGATTCAGAATTCAGAAAAGTATCTTTCATATGGACCAAAAACCTCACCAGAAAGACTGGCATTATTTGCCATAATACTACTAAACTACATAGGGTTTCAAGTCTAAATTCTTCATTAATTATCTTTGACCATTTAAGAGCAAATGTTTGGGAGAAGAAATTATGTTCCAATAAACTGAATTCCAAAAATGTAACTTCTTTTCTCCTTAATTTCTAGCTGCGCAGCTGGGCCTCAACACAGTCCTCATCACATATGTGTTCCAGCAGTTTGGGTGGTTTTTCTGCTGAGATATTCTAGAGAAATTTTAAGTTCGGAGGGGCAGCTTCTCTAAATGGTCTATAAAGTACGCCTCTGAGTTTCTGTGATTTATTATTTCTGCATCTTTAGTTTGATAGTCAGAAGCCAATGGGCCAGGAAAAGAAAAACCAGACATGGGTGAATGAGTTCATCCTGCTGGGGCTGTCCAGTGACTGGGGCACACAGGTCTCCCTCTTTGTGTTGATTCTGGCCATGTACTTAGTGACTTTTGTGGGAAATTCCCTCATTCTTCTTCTGATCAGACAGGATAGTAGGCTTCATACTCCCATGTACTTCTTCCTCAGTGTTCTGTCCTTGGTGGACCTCTGTTACGCAAACAGCATTGCCCCACAAATGCTGGCCCACTTGCTCTCAGCCAAAAAGTCCATTCCATTCTACAGCTGTGTGCTTCAGTTCTATGTTTCCCTGGCACTGGGTGGGTCTGAGTTCTTCCTGCTGGGAGCCATGGCCTATGACCGCTACGTGGCTGTGTGCCACCCTCTGCACTACACAGTCATCATGCATGAAGGGCTGTGCCTAAGGCTGGCTACTGGATGCCTGGTGGCTGGTTTTACAAATTCACTCATGGAAACAATCATCACTTTCCGGCTTCCCCTGTGTTACAATGTCATCAACCACTTTGCCTGTGAAACACTAGCAGTGTTGCGGCTGGCCTGTGGGGACATCTCCTTCAACAAGATCATGGTGGCTGTCTCAGGATTTCTGGTGCTTATGCTTCCCTGTTCCCTTGTTCTATTCTCCTATGCATACATAGTTGCTGCCATTTTGCGCATTCGCTCTATGCAGGGACGCAGCAAAGCCTTTGGGACATGTGCCTCTCATCTCACAGTGGTTTGCATGTGCTTTGGAGCTTCCATCTTCACCTACCTGGGCCCAAGGTCTGCCTCCTCAGTAGAGGAGGAGAAGATGGTTGCTCTCTTCTATGCTCTGGTGGCTCCCATGTTGAATCCCTTGATTTATAGCTTGAGGAATAAGGAAGTTATGGCTGCTCTTTGGAAAGTATTGGAGAAGTTTGGATAAAAGGTCAAGACTCAAAACTTGAATTTCATCTGCCCACCTGGTTTCATCAGTGTCTCAATGTATAAAGGAATGATCTTCAGCTTTGTCAAGCAGACCTGGTTTTTTTATTCTTCTGCTTCTAGCTGGCAAGTTTCTTGAACATCTTATTTTTATATTTTATTACTAAACAAGAAAACAGTATCTAGCTTTCAGATCATTTGCAAATATGAGAGATAATCTGTATAAAATGTCTGACATGGCATTGGTTATCTCTGGCTATGCCTATTTCACTTCTCTATGATGACTATAAAGGACAATTTCATTTTTCCCACTCCTATGGTTGCTCCCAGGATGTCTTATCAATACCCACAGGGACCCTGTTTGATTATATCACACACAGAAAAAGCCTATTAGAATGAAAGTCAAAGGTACACAATATAGGGACCAGCAGATGGTGTAATAGTTATGTCGCTGGACTCTCTCATGGCCAATCACAGTTCTAGTCTTGGACTCAGTGGCTTGAAGCTCATGCCAGGTATGTGTGCATGTGTGCCCTAAATTGCAAGAGGAGAATGAAGAAAAAGGGATTGCAGGGAACCAGCAGTTAGCGTAATGGCTATGTCGCTGGATTCCCACGTAGTCGACTGCGGTTCGTGTTCCGGACCCGGTGGCTTAAAACTCACGCCGGGCGTGTGTGCGTGCGTGCCCAAGATCCCGAGAGGAGAATGGAGGAGAAGGGATTGCGGCGTGACCATCCCCCCTGGGGGGTGATTTCTCGCTTTCTGTCTCTATGTCTCTCTCTGTCTGTCTGGCGAGCGCACGCGCCCTACAGTGAAAATCTCTCAAAAAAAAAAAAAAAAAGGGCTTGCAGTGTGGTCATTCCCCCTGTGGGGTGATTTCTCATTTTCTGTCTGTCTGTCTCTCCAGTGAGCACACATGCCCTATAGCAAAAATCTCCTTAAAAAAAAAAAAAAGAGCACATAATAAAATGTAATGTACTTTGTTTGAGATGATGACTAAGGGTAATACCCTTGATTTAATTATCACACACTGCACATATGCTTTGAAAAACTACATTGAACCACATAAAGATGTACAGTGAAATGTAAATAAGAAACTATAAAATCAAATAAAGAAATACAAAAATACAAAAAATTAATATGTTCCAAGCAGATTAGAGAGAACTGAGAGGGATTTGTTAAGTGACAGGTAAGGTAGTAATAAATAATCTGACTCAGTGGAGAAGAAAAAAAGAAGTAAAAGGGAATACATGATTTCTTGAACAAGGTAAGAAGTTCTAACACATGGAACACAATAGAAAAGTCTAGCACACATATAATGAAAGTGTCAAAATAAGAGAAAAAAAGAGACTGGAGAAAAAAGCATATGTGAATAACATGGCTTTATTCAATTTTCCGTTCTAATAGGTTTTTTTGTGTGTGATATATCTCAAACAGGGTCCCTGTGGGTATTGATAAGACATCCTGGGAGCAACCATAGGAGTGGGAAAAATGAAATTGTCCGTTATAGTCATCATGGCTTTATTCAATTTTATTCAATTTTCCCAAATTGAATAAAGACATCAGGCCATAGATACATAAAGTATTACAGATTTGAGACAGCAGAAATGCAGTGAAACCATACCTGGGTATATCAGAGTAAAACCATGTCAGACAAAAGCAATAAACTCTTTTCTTTTTAAAGCAGCCAGAGAGGAAAGTATTATTGCAAAAAGGGACCAAGATCGAAAGTATAGGCAGAAGCCTGTTGATGGTGCAGCAGTAATGCACCTGGATACACAAGGTCCTGAAGTTGTGTGCTGGGACTTCTCTGAGCATGCCAGGTGCATGCAAATGTGCTCATGATCTAGGCCATCCCCTGCTGGGGGTGTTTCTCTCTCTCTCTCCTTTATGTCTCTCTTTCTCCCAGAAGAAATATATAACTTTTTTTTTTAAAGTAATGGTAGGAGTGAAAAAAAAAAATCTCCTCCAAAAGAGGAATAGAATCCTCCCAATTCCAGCACAAGTCTTGTAAACAACATCAATATTATTTTACATCTGGGGAAAAGTCATGTCACTTTTCCAGACAAAGGAGCATTTTCACTGAGGAAAAAGCAATCTACCCTTACAAAAAGGGTTGAAATCCATTCAGGCTTAAATCTTGCACTGATACAAATAGAATCCACAAGGAAAGGAGCAGAAACTCCCACTTATGACCAGGCACAGATACAGAATTTCATTGTCATAATGAGTGGAATAAGGCAGAAACATGAATTTCCAAGCTTCATCTTTACAGTGCCTAAAACTGGGGCTGGATTAAGAAAACCAAGAATCTCCATGTCCTGTGCCCCAACACAAGCCTCACACAAAGAAAGCATCTACTTCTGGTGAAAGGGCAGAAGTATGGAGAGAGATAGCTGTCTTACAAAGGCAATGTTGTGTTTTGAGAAAGTTGGGTAGAGCAGGAACATTGATTACAGTTCCACAAGTTTTTAAAAATATAATACATTATATTTTTATAGTATTATATAAACATTATAATATAAAATAAATTTTTATATGCAATATTTTTAAAATATTATAAAACATATAATAAAGATCTATTGATAGATTAAGATCTATTCTTGGGGAGTTTATATATAGGAAATGCATGGTTGGTTCAACATCTGAAAATAAATTAAGTCAATGTATTTAATTTGTTAAGAGACTAAAATTAAAAACCATTGAACACTTCATCAGATGAACAAAAGGCAATAATTGCAATTTAACAGTGATCATGATAAAGACTAGAAAGCTAGGCATAGAAAGTAACTTCTTAACCAATCGAGAGTATCTACAAGTAACTTGCAGCTAATATCCATCATCTTTAATAGTGAAGGACTGACTGATTTTCCTCTAAGGTTGGAAACATGACTATATGTTCATGTTCACCTTTTCTTTTCAACTGGAAGTCCTAGCTAAAGTGATAAAGCCAGAAAAATAAACTAAATAAATGCAAATAAGAAATACATAAATAAAATTATTTTAATTCTCAGGCAAAATTATTACATATAGAGAAAATAACAAGAAATGTACAATGAGGCTTCCAGAACTAATAATGTAATTTGGGAAGATTGCAAAAAGCAAAGACAATATATAAAATGTAGATTAAATGCATGTGTGCGTGCATGTGTGTGTATACACAAAAACATCACTGAAAATGGTGAAATAAAGAATTCTAAGACTTCATACCTCCACAAAAACAACTAACAAATGGCAAAACTGTTGGAATAAACTTTTGCACAACCATAGAACAGATCAAAATGCACCACGAGCAGTGGGAAGGCTGATGGAGACAGAAGCTACTGTATTGTACTAAGAGAGTGCCAGGGCATTTATTTATTTGTTTAGTTTTTAGACAGATTTTTGTTATCAGGCACATACACTTGTCAGAGGGACAGAGAGAGACAGAGAGACAGAAAGTGAGAAATCACCCCCTCCCCAGAGGGGATGGCCATGCCACAATCTCTTCTCCTCCAATCTCTTCTTGGGATTTTCAGAATGCACGCACATGCACCTGGCATGAGTTTTAAGCCACCAGGTCTGGGACTTGGAATGCAATCGGCCACGTGGGAGTCCAGTGACATAACCAATAAGCCATCTCCTGGTCCTATGCTAGGGCATTTAAATCACCTACTGATCATCCCTTACTTTTCAAATTCGAGGCAGCCATGAAGGGTGGCAACTCACACTTCTGGTGCAGATTGTTCATACAAGAAAGAGCAAAATGGACCCTATTCTCAAAAAAAATTGATAGAAGTTTTTGATATATAAAGCATCTAACTTAAGGGCTTCTGTAAAGGATTATCTTTGTTTTGCTTGACGAGAAGTCAAGCAAAGGGCTGGGATTGCGTTCCCTGGCTGGGATAGCTTCCCAAGTGGTATTTGCTGAAGGAATTTAAAGGCAAAAGAATTGATTACAGCAGCCTTGGTCAAAAGTTAAGACTGGAGACAAGCAATAGACAGAAATTGGAAAGAAAGCTACATCAGGGATTAAAGGTTTGAAAAACTCAGGTGTACTTTAGAAAATTGAGAAAGCCATGCATATGCACAGGGCTGAATGCATGCTCAATGGTCTGAAAAGACCTTAAGATTTCAACTCTGGTGAACTTTAGGCTCTGCTTAATAACAAGTGAAGGCTAAGGCAGAGTTATGAATGGCCTATGTGTTGAAGATGTGCTCCAAACGGAACCAGGTATCTATCAGTTGGTGAATAACTAATGTACTGTTGTAGGTCTGTATATTGGAATACTTCTCAGCAATAATAGAGAACGAGTTGATCCTGACACCAAAAACAGCATCACCAAACAAAAACCTGGGCATGGTGCAGCAACATATGTAAGAGGACTCTGAAGAAAGATCAGCCACAGGACTCAGAATCTGAGGGATCTGCAGAAACCTCCAAATTGGAACCACCAAGAAGTACAGAATAAAAGGCTAAAAGAAAAGCCCATTTGGTAAAACTCACTTCTATGATAAGATTGTGTTTGTATACATTACGATTTTATTTGTATCTGCGATTATTTGCAGAAATTTTGACACAAGGAATCAAAGATCACTGTCACAGTAACTGATAGAATTCTCTCACAGTGGGTAAGCATTTTCTGTCTTTGAAGAAGTATGCTCTCCCAAGCATTCTGTCACCACAGTGGGTGACCAGAACATGGTTAGGGCAGCTGTGGTTACCACTGATGGATTCATATTGAAAGTTCATAGTTAATTTAAAATGGTCTATTTAAAGTATCTCAGAGTGTTTCTGGCACTTTGAGGTCAATTAAGACCAGAGATTTCAAAGAGCTGCCTCATTCTTATCTGTTGCAATTTGGTGTTTATATATCAGTCCTGTAAGAGAATGTGATTACCATAACCATGTGTTGCACCCCAGACTGAATTATTTGTAACTTTAAGTATTTTCATTTACCATTTTATCAAACTACAGGGAGTATGACTGCTTTACTTTTTTTTTTTTTTTAGAGAGGTTTT